GATAAATATTCAAAAAAAAAATCCAAGACTGACGATCAACCAATTTTCAGAAACCAAGAACTTTAGCTAACTGCAAGCCTAATTGGCCTAAAAAATGTAGAAATGTACGCACCACAAGGAGAGTGACAGTGTTTCCTCCACTGTATCCTCTAGTCCAGAAGTAAAAGGTCTATCATCATGGAGCTTTATGTTACTGTGTGTTCTATCTTCAGAGGTACTTTGTTCTTCTTCCCTGAGCCTTGCTACTTCTATACTCATCAGAAATGATCTCCGTATACACAGTGGAAGTATAAAACACACAGGAAACAACCAGCTAGAGAATAAATACAAGATTGGCAGTGGAAAATCTAATGTAGCTGTTGTAATGCCACCAAGTAGTAAAATGTTCAAGACACAGAGATAGAGGTGGCCCTTGATGGCAGTGCCTGCCATGCACTCTATTCAGAGGACCAGAGCCAAGCAATGGGAGGAAGCATTCCACCTCAGGACCATAGGGCTCAGAGAAGAAAGTCTGCCCTGTCATTCAGATTGACTGAAGAGGAGACCAGAGGTCACTGACACTGAGTTATAGAGACTAAGATGGAACCTACAAAATACAAGACAAGGAAAAGAAGCTTCACCTCAGAGAACCAGATGTTGGAAAGTAGTTTCCTATTGGACAAGATCCTCAGTATGCTGCAAGAAGATATGCTCTATTAAAGAAGGGCAGAAAGCCTCAAGAGGGATAAATAGAGATAAAAATAAGTTGAATGACATAAAAACAGAAATACCGACATGGGGAAAATTGCAATGAAATCGCTTATGCAACCAAACTGTTAAATCATCAGCAGGGGAAAAGTTACAGAAAATCCTAACAATAATGTAGAAGACAAATGAGAGTGGTCCTTTACAGTGGGCAGTCCCTCATGACACAAGTTACTGCTGTATGTTCATTCATTAAAACGCCATCAAAGCTTCCATTTTGTCTAATGTGGCATAATGTGGATCCCACCCAACACAATTAGAGACCGGGTAGAAGATATGAAACAATGGTTCATAGGACGTTACGTATCAAGTAGTACCAATTAGTGACCACTCAGAAGATGGATACAAGTGAGGAGTGAGATGCCCCCTAGGATTGCTACATCTTAGTGGTTAGAGAGTTTCCAGGTTGCACCCAGGGAGGACAACTCAGGCAGATCCTGGCATTCTCTGTGAGTTGAGTTTGGGAGCTCAAGGTGTCTAGAGGTCGTACCAAGGGAGCCAAACAGACAGATCCTCAAAGATGTGTAGTAGGTCCCTTTTATAAACAGTGGCATCACCTTAATTATTTCATGGAGTGGCAATTCTCACTCCTGGTGAATAAACTGCCTGAGGCTGGGATTGGAGAAGAGGAACTCTGGAATGCAAAGAAATCAGAACAATGCTCATTCTCACCACTTGGAAGATAAGCCCCCAACTTCACAAATTACTAGTAGAGTACTCAGAAGAACTCCGTCTCAACAGTCAGGCTAAATTAGTTCTTGAGTAAAATGCTTTTCTGGTCATGTCTAATGAAGTTTTAAAAACTAGTCCCCAAAGGAACTATTTCTAGGTAGTCTACACCCCAAAGAAGCTCAAGAATATTTGCAGACATGCAAAAACCTCCAGTACTCAACATTAGCGAAGAGATGAGGATTCTATACAACTTCTTCCAGAAAATTTTAGAGGACTCTACCTAATCCATTTTAGATGGTCAGCATTACTCTCAAGCCAAAATCAAAGATATTATAAGAAAAGAGTACGCATGGATGCAGATGCAGAATTTACTAACAGAATTTCAGGAAATAGAAATCAATTGTCCATAAAAAATTAACTGAGACTTAAATATAGAGATATATGATGTTAAAGGATTAGAAGACCCACTGCATTAATGTTAGTTCTTTATGATCTTGAGTTAAGTAAAGCTTTTTAAGATATAACTGTAAAAGGTCAACCACAGAATAAAAAAGAAAAAATGCATTGGATTATAAGAAAATCTGATCTTCAAAAGAATTGTTAGGGCTGGGGAGATGGCTCAGTGGATAAAGAACTTGTTGTGCAACCCTGAGGATTTGAGTTTGGATCTCCCCTAAAAAGCCAGGTTCAGTGGAAGACAAGAGGATCCTGGAGGCTTGCCAAACCAAATCAGAGGCTTGTCAAATCAGAGAGCTCCAGGTTCAGTGAGAGACCCAGTCTTAGAAACAAAGGTGGAGAGGGATTAAGGAAGACACCTGAGGTTGACCTCTGCCTCCATATGTGCATAGATGCACACATGGGCCTGTGTGTATCTCATGTGTACGCACACACAAACATGGGGAAAGAGAGAGAGAGAGGGAAAGAGAGAGACGACAAGACACTGCCAGGGATAAAATATTTGCAAGTCACATAACTATTAAAGATCTTGCGTCCATAATATGTAAAGAAATCTTAAAACTGAATGAGATAGTAAATAGTCCAATTTAAGAATGGACAAAAGATTTGAATATTTTTATTAAGGAAGACATGTAGATGGTCACTGAGCACATGAAAGGATGTCATTAGGATAATGCAAGCAAGACCTCAATGAGATACGACCATATGTATATTAGAATGACAAAAAATGAAGATGTTGATGAGGGTGGAGCAGCAGGAGCGCTCACATACTGTTGCTTGGTGTGAAGAATGGCTCAACCACATTGGAAAAGCACTCAGGTACAAACTGAAATGTACTCAGTACCTATCACATTAGACCTGCTCGTTTTGCTCTGAGGTGTTAACCAAGGGACATGAAAGTTGTCCCTGCACCTACAAAGACTTGCACAAGACTGTTTAAAACAATTTTGCTTGTAATAACCCCAACCTGAAAACAAACCAAATATCCACCAATACATGAAATAATTATGGAATGGCTATATATTAGAATACTAATTAGCAACTAAAATGTGTGGACTAGTAATACCTACAAATGAATAAATATCAAAATTATTATGCTGAGCAAATGACATGAGACCTAAAAAAGAAATAGTGCGTGATTCTGTTTATATAAAGGGCAGATGATATAATCTAATTCACAGTCACAGATTGTGGATCATGAGCTGCACAGGGTGGGGCCAGGGCTGAAGAAAGGAATTACCATGACAACTTCTAGAGCTGATGGACCTGCTCATTTTATTTATTGTCTGAGTTTTACAGGGGTATACATATGTCAAAATTTTTTGATTGTATATTCCAAAGTTGTCTAATTTGTTTAATGACAACTGCAGTTCAGCAGAACTATGTTTAGAAGTTATGACAGGCTTTTCTGAAGATCCTCGGGTCACTAGAGTAGTGACTGGATCTTGAGTGACAGTTCTAGCTCATGTTGCTATTTAGTTTCCTCCTACATGGAGATGCTTAGATTCAGAAGGTCTCACACTGATGCTACTTAGTATCCTTCCTCCTCATGCCTCCATATATGAACTATCCTGAACCAGAGCTAGAGAGATGGCTCAGCAGTTAAGAGTACTGGCTACTCTCCCAGAGGACACTATTGGGTTCCCAGCTTCCGAATGGCAGCTAACAGCCATTTGTAACTACAGTTCCAGAAGATCTGATGCCCTCTTCTGGCTTCTGCAGGCACTGTATGCCATGGGTGCACTTACATGCAGGCAAAACACTCATAAATAAATAAATAAATAGATAAGTAAATAAAAATTTTTAAAAAAGCCATGCCCTGAACTTTCAGTCATCTGAATACATTGCTCAGGTACCACTAGTAAAAGGCTAATGGCCTCTTCTACACCAGAGGCTCTCTTCTGGTGCCCTGACAAGAAGGTCCTGGTGCATCTGCCTTGTTTGGTCTTTGCTCATGGTCTCTGCATTTCTTACTGCCTTCCAGTTGAGCAGTGTGGCAGAAAGGAGGGAGCACCAGGCCAGATGGCAAAACCTGGGATGGTAGCACTGGGTTTACACTAAGTGGTCTATGATCTTCTCAGGCAAGCTTATTCCCCACACCCAATCTGCGTTGGTTTTTAAAGAATCTGTTATTACAGCAAAACTAAGGTTTACCCTGTCTTGAATGACAGAGATTTTTGTGACTATAATGTTAACTGAAACCCAGTCTGACTTCAAAACTATATGTAATTTAATCCCAATTCCATAAAAAACACTTATTGAAAAACTCTACAAGGTTGTACACACATTTATTTTCTAAAATAATTTTTATTCCAAACAGAAATCTTTCAAATATTCTACCCAAGCACCAAAGAATACATTTTCTACTCAGCACCCCATGGAACTTTTTGCCCGAAAATTAACTATATACTGGGCCACAAAACCTCAACAAATACAAAAATATTGAAATAATTCCATGTATTCTATTGGACCACAACATAATAAAGCTCAAAATCAACACTGGACAAACCCCTAGTCACTACACAAATTCATGGTGATTGAACAACACACTCCTAAACAATGAGTGGGTCAATGGAGAAATTAAGAAAGAAATA